CCCCCCCCCCCCCACAGCCTCTCACCCATCCCACCCCTCCTGGGGTTTCACATCCCCAGTGTCACAGGCTCACACTCTCTTTGTGTAAACGTCTTAATTACACCTTTAATGCTCTCACATAGAGATGCTATGAGTTAAATTACAGTTTCTGTGCATCCTAAATTACCCATAGCCCTCCAGTTGGCTCGAATGCTAACGTATTTATAGCATCTAGAGGAGGAAATAAATCCAGAACCTTCCCCATGAAGTCCTCCTAGGCCCTCACAGCCTGACACCTTGCATTTGCCACCCTCACGTCCCCGCCAACCAGCAGACAGTGATGGCGGCGAGGCTGGGCACAGGGGCGTGTGTCTGTGCCTGCTCAGGTGCACATGCGTGCCCAGCGGAGAAGTGCCCAGCTCTCGGGGTCTGGCTTGACCCAGTGCCTTGCCCAGATGCCCCAGCCTGGCAGAATTCCTGCGGGGCATGGGGTGGGTGGACAATGGGTAGGTGGGTTGTGTGATCAAAACCCAGACTAGGTCTCTTAGGTCTGTTTTCCAAGGGGCTATCCCCACCCTGTTTCAGGCACTCAGAACTTCCCCTTCTAGCCTGCAGCTGGCGACCACCGCCCTCTGACCAACAGTCTCTCCCCCAACCCCAGGTCCCCGATAAACACCAAGACAGGGAACTGTTCCAGAAGCAGGTTACCTGGCTTTTAGAGCCCAGTGAAGGGATGTGGTGGGCAGTGGACCCTTGCCTCTGCTTCCCTCTCCCTTCAGTCCCTGAACACTGAAGGTGGAGAAGGTGGCCTACTTAATGTTCCTCTACACACCATGGGGTGGGGGTTGGCTTGGAGGGTGGAGCCAATGCAGGGGTCTCCATCCTGCCCCCTGTGCTGGGACAGGCACACGTCTGCAGGTGGGCACCTTCATGCGCATGCAGGAGGCCTTCCAGCAGGTCTGGGCACTGCATCCCTCCACACCTGCTCCCCCACCTCCCTTCCCCCTCAGCTCTCATCCTAGCTTGGGCCCAGCCAATAGCCGACCACCACGGAGGGGTGGCTGGAAGACCTCATGGATCCCTGTAATTTGGACTGACCTTGGGTATGAGCAGCCCTCCTCCTGGCATCCTTGCCCACTTGGCAGTTTCAGCTCTATCCCTGAGCCTCTCCCAGAGTACCACCATACCATGTGCCTGAGACCTGGGTGGCTGCCTCTCCCCACCCCAGAGGAGACTCCAGATTCCAAAGATATGTCTCTCCCTGATGGATGGGAACCCCCCTACTCTCCTTCCCTTCCCCCTCCCATCCCACATCTCCCCCCATTTCCTCCACATTAGAGGAGCAGACCCTGAGGTGAGGGGTCTGGGAAGGGCACAAGGAAGCCAGCCAGCATAAGGAAGACTTATGAGGGATGCTCTGCATTCCAGGGCCCTCAGGTCAGGTGATATCAGTGGCCATATGCCCAACCTGGCCAGGGGCCTCTTTTAGAGCCTGGAGGGTCAGCAGCTGGGTCCTCAAAATAGCTGAGGCCTTGGCAGGGCAGGTCCTGAGAGGAGGTCCTAATGATCTCGGAGTGGGCAGCTGAGGGCACTGTGGCAGGTGTTTTCATCAGAGGTCCAGGCCTGTCCCAGGACTCCTCACGCGTGGATGGCATTGGCTACATCAGTGAACACCAGCCGGCTGGGCCTCTGCATTGGGCCCTGAGAGGGGAGAGTGGTCTGCAGAGAGACAGTAAGGGGCATCAGGGACCTTGACCAAGGCCATGCACTCTCTGGCCCAGTCCCCTCCACCCTCTGGTGCCCACGTGCGCTTGGCACCAGCTATGTCTTCTGCCTGGAATGCCCTCCCACAAGCTCAGCCAAGAAATACGACCTGGCTCAGATGACTCCTCTCCCCAGCCATCCCCAGCTTGCCCTGCCACCTCAGCCAGTTGCAGCACTTAACCTAGGTCCCAGGGCCTGCATTAATTATGCATGTACCGACCTCTCCCAGCAGAGGGGGTTCACCTCTGTACCCCCAAGCCCCAAAGCCCGGGCACAGGGGCTGGCACAAAGGGAGATGCACAGGAAACAACCGTCAAATAGTCAGTAGTCCCAAGAGCTGGGCGGACCAAGGTTCTCAGCCCAATTTCCTGAATATCCCAAGGGGGAATGAGTCCTGATCCAGGTGGCAAAGAACTGGTAGCAAAACCAGGGGACTCCCAGCCTGGACTCTTCCTGAGCCCAGTCTCTTAATTCTGCCGCTGTGGAGCCAGGTTCCCTAGCAACCTGGGCAGTCAAGGCAAGGAGGGATGCAAAGGGGCATCATGGGTCGGGGGAGACCAGGCCTCCTCATGGTGCTCTGGCCCCTGGGGATTTCAGGGACCGGTGGCAAGTGGCCAGGCAGCCCAGTGACTCTGGCAGGATAACCACACAGGTACCCAGCACTTTGGACATGGGAGGTGAGTCCGGCTAGGGTCTGCACCTGCCTGGGGTCTGCCAGCTACTAGGAACCCACCAATCTACTCAGAGGTGCCACTGCCCCAGAATCTGACGCCAGTCACAACTCACTCAGGACTGGGATCTCAGGGAGCAGAAGAACCCAGGGTCTCAGCCCCCCAACAATCCCTCCCGTGAGTCTTCTCCTGCTTTCCCCCTAGTTTGAGGGGGCATACCTGAGGCAAGAATCAGGATTTTCACTTGCAGATGAGAAAACTGAGGCTCAGAGAGGCCAATGGAGCTTCCAAGGTGACCAGGCTATCGGGACAGAGCCAGGCTGGATCCCAGGGCTGCCCTGGCCTGGCCTTGTGCAGTGAGTCTGTGGGTGGCCGAGGAGCAATTCTACTAGTTTCTAAACAAACCTGACAAAATCCATATACCCGATAGCTGCCACCTGACCACATGGCAGGTGCTAGAAAGCTACATGGGAAAGGAGGGAGGGTGGGGGTGGAAGAGCCACAAACAGGCTGCACGCTGGGTGGAGGAGCCTGGTCAGTGCCCACCTTGGCCAGCGTGGCCTGCACAGCGGTGGCGGCCTGCACGGAGGCAGTGTCCCGCCCGTGCTCCAGCAGCTCCCGCTCCAGTTCATCTTGCTCCTCCGTGGGGTCGAAGTTGTACATAGGCATGAGCTGGTGGCGCAGCTTCTCCAGCCTGGGGGGTGGGGGCAGAGACTGCTGCAGGCAGGGCAGGCCCTTCCGTTCCCACCAGCCCTCCAGGTGCTGCTCCGTGCTGACCAGCTGACACCACCATGTTTAGGGTCCTAAAATTTCCCCTGGGATTCAATGAAAGACATTTTTGCACATACAGTACTAGCTCTACCCCTTGGATGGGTGGCCTGAGAGGGACAGGTACCCACTCTGGGGACCAGATGGGGCCATGGGCCACAGAGCTATCATCCGTGAGAGCCATGGGGACTGCCTAAGCCAGGGCCTTGTGCGATCCCCAGCCTCTGAGGGGCCGGGGTGGGGAAAGGGGAGTCAGTGGCCATTAGCTCAGGGCAGCAGGGCAAGGGTGGCTCAGCCCTCCCCAGGGGAAAATGGTTACCCCCAACCCCGAGTGGGCAGAAGAGGCCCTGACTCCCTCACTAGGGAGAGGGACCCTCATGGTGGAGGGACTCTCCTTTCCCACCCACGTCCCCTGGAGTCCAGCCCAGCATTGCCCACGGGCTGGAGTCTTGGGTGGCAGATGGGGAGTTACCTCTTCTTCTTCCTGATGTACAAAACCTGCAAGAGAAGGAGCAGCATCAAATGGCCAGGAAAGGAGGCCCTAATTAATCCAGCAGTCCCTCGGGACCGGGGACATGCTGAGGCTGATGAACGGGAGAACTATAGGTCCCCATGTCCTCACTGACCCCATCCCAGGGACACATACATCCTAAATTTGTGCTTCCATTTGACGTTTATTAGATGCTGACAGCGCCCAAACTCAGAGGTGGGGAGAAGGCCAGCCTGGGAAGACCACACAGGTAAGCCTCGCCTAGGGACGCATGGGCCCACCCCTGCCAAAACTGACTGTGGCTCCAGCCACTCAGTGCCTGCCTCGGACTCCTCAGGGCTAAAGTGGTGGGGGAGGTACTTCAGCATACCCTCTCCTCTCAGCTGTCCCCAGGACCAAACTTTCTCCCCATGTATGGGCAAAAAGGACAGAGGATAGGCAGTGGCCAGACTCTGCAGGGCAGTGGCTCTAGGCAAGGCTCTGGGCTGGCTTCCTGGGGTTTCTATGGGAGGCTGATGGCCCTCAGGGGCTGAGGAGGAGGGTCTGAGCCCCAGGACATCAGCCTAGACCACACTCCTGAACCCTGATGCTGGAGGAACCTAGGAAGACCCCTGGGTCCTAACCCCCATCATAATGACTTGAAGGTAAAGGCCTAGGCAGCCTGAGAAAACATCTGAGACCCAAGAGCTCCTGGCTAGAGAAGGAAATCCTGGTACAAAGCACTCAGGGGAGGGAAGAAGGGGGTGAGACTTGGGGACCTCTGCAGGACCTGGAGCGGGAACTCCAGGGACTTCTGCCCCCATCTCGCTCATCCCTCAACTGGTGTTTTTTGACTACCAGGAGCATGACTGCTTCTGCTTGGGGGAAAGCCATGTCCCTAGAGTCTGTCCCAAACCCCCTGTGGCTCCTACACTCTTTGTGGCCCATTCACAGCTTGAATCTGGTTTGTTTCCAGCCTGACCCAGAGCTCCTCCTGCTGCTCATTCCTGGGGGACCCCAAAGGTGGAAAGAAACTGCAGTGCCCCTTGCTCCCCCATCCCCTCCAGGAGGTCACATGTTGGCATGCCCCTTGCTCTCTTGTGGGTGGGATGCAACAGGAGCTCCAGGTCTCTGGCATAGCCCCTGCCTGCCCTGAAGCAGCAGCTCCAGCCCCAGCACACTGTACTCCCTCGCCTCTCAGCCCTCCTGCCCGCCCTGTGATACAGAAGGATCTTTAAGAGAGGCTAGAACCAATCTCCACCCCTCACCCTTGCTGCTCCCTCCGCCCCAACTACTAACACCCTCCCCACAAATACCTTCCTTTCCAAATCTTCCTTACCCTTCACTGTCCAGCTGCAGCCCCACCTCTTCCAGGAAGCCCTCCCCCACTGTTCTTCCTACGTGAGGCACACGGCCTGGCACTGATTTGTTCCTCCTTGCACCCAGCATGGCCTGGCTCAGGGTTGGCATGAGGGGAGAGGAAGTAACACTTAAGGAACATCTCCAGACCTGGCCCCTGCCCAGGAGCTGTTTCCTGCCCTCCACTGCCTTTGCCCCATAACTTCCCTACCTCTCCGTTTCTGGTGATAAGGCCATCCACCGCGACCCTCCGAATATTCCTCCAGAATGAAGAGTAAGGAAGTCTTCCCAAGTTCCCAGGACAAAATCTTTGGCCAAGAGTGACAAAGGCAGTTTCTAGGCCCTGCTCTGCCCCTGAGGTTAGAGTGTCTCAGCCTGCTTAACCACCACATGGGTGCCAAACACCGGTATTCTGCCTCACCCCTGCCCCAGGCGACTGCTCAGGCCCCGGCCTCACTCTGTGTGTTGCATCCTGGCTCTGCCCGCTGGCCAGCAGTTGTTCCCTGGCAGCAATCCGGAGCCTGTGGGCCCATATGGTGACCCTGTTTTACCAGCAGCTCCAGCCACGAATGGATCATCCAGCCCTATTTGTCACAGCAACATGCTCCTGAGTCTAAGGCCAGCCGTCAGAGCCTGTGAGGGGCAGCAGGCAGAATGCCACCATTGCCGGGCCTGCTGGGGGACCTCAGGTACACCTCCCACCCTTCCAGGTCTCAGTCCTCGCAATCTCCAATGGGCCCTCGGTGACAGAATTCTGAGTGTCCATGTATCATCTTAAGAGGAGAGTCCATATCTTTTTTTTTTTTGTCCACGCTGCACAACTTGTGAGATCCTAGTTCCCTGACCAGGGATTGAACCTGGGGCCCCGGCAGTTAAAGCGCTGAGTCCTAATCATTGGATTGCCAGGGAATTCCCAGGGGACAGTCCATATCTTCAGCGGTAGATACCAGATCTGGAAGCATCATATCCACTCTCAGGGGACACCTGCAGCCCTCACCCCAGCTCACCTCTGCCCTGATGTCTGCCAAACTCTGCCCTTCTCATGACGCTGGGGCCAGGCCTCCACTGTGACAGCTTAGCTCTAATGTTGCCTCCTTAGTTGTCCCTGACCACCCAGCCTAGGAAGTCCCTCCAACTCCCACCCAGTTCCCTAATCTAGTCCCTACGGGCTTCCCTTGGCACCCTTGGTTTTACCTATCTCTCACTCCCTGTAAGAACTGCAGGGCAGGACTTTTTCTCCCTAGTCCCTGGGGTGCCAAAGGCTCGGTCCAGGGCAGGTGCCCAGTAAATAATTGCCAAGTGAATGAATGAATGAATGAACATTGCCAGCAGCCTGCCATGCCCAAAGCATCCCATTCGGACTCTACAGCCCACGATCTATCCCAATTGCCTTCTGGCCTCTACTCCTATTGCATCCCCACACTCACTTGCCTCACTGTCCTGCTTGCTGCTCACAGATACCTCCTGTCTGCCTCCAAACTTTTGCCCATCAGGACCCTCCACCTGCAACACCCTCCTCCCCAACTCCTACGTGGCCTTCACGGCCCAGCTCAAAATGCCATGTATTCCTCAGAACCTTTTCTGGTTCTTCCAATTGGAGGCAGCCTCTCTGGTCTCTGGACCCCAAAAAACAAAACTCTGGGGAAAGAAGGGATTGTACTATCACTAACAGACAATTGTGTTCTGATTAGATCCTCTAAAATCTAAACAGTGATCGCCCTCTGTCAAGTGAGGGCCATGTGGGCCAGCCCCAGCCTGCCCCAGCTCTCACCATGGCCACAGCCAGGCCAATCACTGTGATGATCCCAAAGGACAGAAGCATTGTGCCCACGCCGGCTGTGCCACCAGCCACGTCAGGGATTCTGGTGTCATTAAAGCTGGTGGCTTCTGGGCTGAGTGTCGTGGTCTCGGAAGCTGGCCCATCTGTGGCAGGCTCCAGGTCAGGTTCAGAGGTGGGTGGGTGGCTGCTGATCCAGCTCCTAGCAGATGGGATCCTGGAGTCCATGCTGATGCTGAGGGACTGCTTGTGGTCAGTCAACCTGCCCACTCACTTCTGACATCAGGGGTGTCCCAGCCTGTGGCCCCCACTACCCATACAGGGGGCCACGTCCTTGGATAAAGAGAGCTCCCTGCCTCCCTGGGTGTTGGAAAGGAAAAAATAAAAAACATGAGGCTGAGGATGGGACTCTGTGAGGAGATGAAGTCCCCCTAAGTTCTGAAGGCACAGGGGAAATAAAAGTTTGAGGGCAAGGGCAAATTCAGGGAACATCAGGACATGTGCTTTATATATCTATGGATCCCATGTGGATTTAGGAACATGAAAATGAAGCCCTGCCCCCTCTTTGTGGGTAAGATGATCATAGTGATCATACTTGGAAGATGTGAAAAGTAGTGGGGAGGTTTGAAAGAAAAAGTTCATTCCCCACCCCCAGCCCCTACTCCCCACACTGCTCACCTTCTTACTTCCTGCCCCCCACATCCCTCACCTCCTGCTTGGAGAAAAAAATACTGCAGCTTTTTCCTTTCCTGGAGGAAAACACTTGCACGAAAGTCGGACAGGCTTATCTTTGAATCCCAGTTCAGCCACTTAACTGGGTGACCCTAGGCAAGTCACTCCACCTCTCCATGTCTCAGTTTTCCTGAGTCTAAGGTAGGGGTATTAAGGACACCTCCCTCACATATCAGAATGAACAAGTTCCTAGAAATGACTTAGCTCAGTACAACCCTCATCCACAGCAAGTACCCAATAAATGTTAGATCTTCTCCCTCTGGCCACTCCAGTTGGGAAAGGGGAGCCCCAGAAGCCCCTGGACCCAGCCTGCTGTGTGGTCCAGCTTGTGCCTGGAGTAAGGGCAGGGACATGTGTGGCAAGACCAGAAGACAGGAAGGAGAGAGAGGATAAAGTCAGGTCCTACAGCTTTCTCTGTAGGCTCTTGGGTCATTGGACTCCCTACAGGGGCTGCCAGGGACTAGGAGAAAATCAAGGGGAGCGTATCTTCAGAGGCAGGGATGGAGCTCCCACTCTGAGATGCCTTCTCTTCCCCTTCCCTCGTCCCTTGGGAGCAGAGGGTGGGCGATGTGCCCAGTCTAGGCAGTGACTTTGGCCTTCCCAGGCCAAAAGGCCCTGGGTAAGGCAGGGTGGGAAGAGGTCCTAGCCAAACTGCAGAAGGGAAGGCCGAGGGATAGGAGGGATGCACAGCTCATGGCTGCATACACACCTCTGCGCTAGCTCACGGGTGTATGTGGGATGCCTCCCTGTGCAGGTGTATGGGTGTGTGTGAGGTGTGCACACACCAGTGATGGCCTCTTAGGAAGGAGCAAGGCTGGCACAGAAACATGGGATGGGAGAAGCTCATCGTCCCTCTCTGTCCTCCTCCTCTAGCTAGGCTGGGCACGTCAGGAGTCCCAGGTTCTTTCTTGGCTCTGCCGCTGACCCCAGATGTGACCTTGGGCCAGACCCTTAATACTTGCTCTGGGGCTCTGTTTATTCTTCCCTCCAAAGGAGAGAAAGGGCCCTGCTCATCACTGTTCAGGAATGCGTCATGGTCCAAGGGGCAAGAGAAGGAAGCCAGAGAGAAAGGGGTGGGCACCACCACCTCCAAGAACCCGCATACCATTCTCCACCAGGTTCATCAGTCCTCCCTGCCCCAATCCCCAACCCCACCTTCGCGACTCTGTGATTCCTCCATTCTTGCACAGAAGCGGCGACCTCAGCACTTACTTAATCCTCCCTGGGGCGCCGAACTCAGCGGGAGAGGCTAGGGGTGGTGGCGACTGGCAGGAGGCCGGGGCAAGGTGAGGTGGACCCCCAGGCCCCGGGATTGGGGGCGGCGGGTCCGACCTAAGGCCCGCCCTCCCTGGGCGACCTGGGAGGACCTCCCTGGGCTGGGCCAGCGACGTCACACCGCCCACAGCCGAGAGCGCCTGTTCTGCCAGCCTGGACAGGGACTGGCCGTCCGGGACCCACCTCGGGGGTGGGGCTGAGGCGAGCAGCCTCGCGGCTCCGCGACGCTCCAGCTCCTCTCCTCCCTGCCAGCTCCGTGCCCTCGGCCCCGGATTGGCTGTCAGGCCCAGAGCCTGCCCTGCATTGGCCCGCTGGCCTGCCGCTCGGATCTGGCTCTGCCCCCAGCAAGAGGGGGAGCCTGGTCGCAGTTCTTGGAGACCACTCCTCACTGCCCGTGGGCTGTGCCAGAGTCGGGAAGGGGTCGGTGGGTGGCCAGGCCTTCCTAAGGGCTACAACTCTGGTCTCCGGCTACCCTGGGCTCCATCTCCGCCAGGACAGAGTCGGGCTTCGCAAACGCAGGTGGACACAAATTTGGGGAGATCACTAGACTAGGAGTCCTTGAGTCTGCATTGAACTCCGGCTCGACCCTCCACTAGCTTAGTGACCTAGAGCAAGATGCTTCTCTTCCCTGGGTCTCAGCTTCCTGCTCAGATGGACTCTGGTGTGAGGGCTCTTGTTAAACGATACCCATCCCAGGCTAGAAATGAGACATCTTCAGAGAAGTTGGGGGGCGGGATGGTATTTTTATTACAGGAGTGGTATTATTGGACACCTGGACCCAAGCAAGCCTGCATACACCCCTCCAATCCAGAGCTCGATCATCTCTGGAGAGGAGCCTTCTAATCCTCAGGTTTTTAAAGGAGCTTATGGGGATCACCGGAGTAGCTTGTTACAAATACAGATCCCCGGGTCTGGGATGGAGCCCGGGAAACTGCATGCTTCATAGTAGTTTAGTCAACAGTGATCTAGTTAACAATAGATTAGGCGGCGAGGGGGTGGCATTGGCAGGCCATACTTTGCGAAACACTGCCATGAATTTTATTGGAGCGACTGAGGCCCACAGAGGGGCACATGGACAAAGCCTCACGATGAGTCAGGATTCAAACCCTGGTCTACTACTTCCAGTTTCGAGCTCCCTGCTCGAAAATGGGAGCTAGAGGGTCAAGAGCGGCCCTGGGGTCCAGTTGCCACCTGAACCCCAGGTCCTGGACACTGGGTCCCACCCCCCAAATTAGCGCCCGCCCCCAACACTGGGACCCGCCCATGTGCCGCTCTACCAGCACACAGCCTACGTTAGATCAGGCCCCTGGGCATCGCGCCCCAACTCTGGAATTCAGAGCCGGCTGGTGACATGCCTCCGTTCGGGCTGGCTACACACCTCCCGGCCGGGTACCCAAACGCCATCTCGGAGCAGTCACCGCAGGCTGGAGCCTTATCCCTGCCTCAACCTTCAGGAAGACCGTCCGGTCCAGGCCCCCGGGGAGCAACCCTACTCCCAACCACGCACTTTCCCGTCAATGGGCCTTTGGGCGTAGTGGGCGTGGCGTTCATAGCCCCCACCGGCCGCAGGGGCTTCCGAGGTGGAACACATCGGCTCTAGGAACTCTGGAGCTGGGCGACGGGGTCCGCCCGAGCCCTTCCTCAGTTGCGCCAACCCCGGAAGCAGAGCGTCGGAGGGAGCTTATCGCGGGTCACGCATGTCCGGGAGCCGAGCCCGCGGCAGTTTCTTCAGGCTGGCGGGCGAGTGGGGAAGCTTCTCAGGCAGGTATGCGTTAACACCCTCGAGACCTCGAGTTCGTCAGAGCTCTGGCAGCCTTCCTTAAAAAGTCTGTACCCCCGTTGTACAGATGGAGAAACAGGCTTGTGGAGAGGCGACCTCGCGGTGCGAAACTGAGAGGGAAGCTGCGCCCCTGACTTCAGGCCTCGGCTCCTCCCTGGGCGGCGCTCTGGTAGACAGAGCTGCCTCTGGAGTCCGAAGGACTTGTGTCTTGACTGGGACAGTACCTAGCTGGGTGACTTTGGGCAGGTTGCTTCCAGTCTCGGAGTCTCATTTTCCTTTCTGTCTCTGAAGAGCGGCACCTAGCAGGTGTTCAGTAAAGGCTAGTTTGAACCCTGGTCTCTGTAAGAGGAAAGGAGACCACTGGTTTTAAACCTTCAGTTAAATTTGTTTGTGATAACTTGCATATAAAATTAACAGAAATTGTCAATTTTTTACCTGGGAGTTTATGCTGGTGTTTAGGACTATGGGTTAAATTGGGTGGAGGGGTGATTTTCAGCATACAGATCAATGACAGTGCATGCAAAATGTCAAAAGCAAAGCTCCCAAGCAAGGGCAGTCTCCTCCTCCTAGTAATATTAGTCAAGAGCATATAAAATTGAGTTCCTGTATGTGTTGAGCTGGCTCCCAGGCCCTTGATATTCATTGACCGATGCAGTGCTCACCGTGGAGTTTGTGTTATTTTCCCCATTTTATGGACGAGGAAACTGAAACACAGAAATAATGACTTTCCCAAGGTCACACCCTCTGGGTCAGATAGATCTGTCCAACCCCCAAGCCTGGGCCCTGATCCACACCAGCCCATTTATTAGTAGGGACTGAGCTATGGCTTCAGATCACTTGAGCCAAAAACATGAAGAAGATGTCACTGACCAAGACAAACTCAGATAGGTGGGCGAGGGTCTAAAATGGAGTCAAAGAGGCGACAGAGCAAGAGCATGCCCTTTCTCAGGCAACAGGTCAGAGAGGAGTGGGTCCCACAAGTCTCAGCTACTCTCCTGGTTCTCCTTCCCTGTTCTAGGGCAGCCACATCTGAGGACCAGAGCCATGCTGAGGAGCCAGAGCCCGTGACCTTCTCCATCTCCATCCGGCTGAGGCCAGCCACCATCCTCAGCAGCTGACATCACGAGAAAGATTTGGGGACCTTGGGGAAGTACTCAAGGGATCCTTTCCCTGAGATGTGGGACGTCAGGGCAGAATGCTGAGGGCCCTCCTATCTGGCCTGGGGTGGAGGGGAGGCATTTGGGGCTGCACCTTCAGCTCACGGCAACCCCATCTGCCTCCGGCTCGGTTGTTGAGTGCCACAGAACTGGTCAGCCACTGGACAGTAGTCTTTGAGAAAAGGGGCATCCCTGAGGCCCGGGAATCCAGTGAGTACATCGTGGCTCATGTCCTTGGAGCCAAAACAGTTAAGTGCAGTGTTGTCAGGAGGGCAGGAAATGGGGGGAGGGAGGACTCTGGGGAAGAGACATCCAGGCTTTTCCATTCCACTGAGAGTGCTGAGCTGAGAATGATGGGATTTTTCTGGAGGAATGTCTTAGGCAGATACTTATTCATCCAACAAACTATTACAGTGTGTGCCAGGCACTAGGGGTTCAGGGATCACCAAGGTGGCCAGTGTTGGACCCACTGGCATTGTCTACAAAAGAAACCTGGGTCAGGGGAGCCAGCCACTCACATTCTCTGTGGTGCAGTTTCAGAGCCTGAGGCCAGGACTTTGGACCCAGCCCCTGACCCCTTGGCAGTTACAGTATGTCCAGGAGCTGAGTAGCTACCGATTGCAAAGGTGAGCACCATGGGCCAAACCAGAGGGTTCTGTGTGGGGAGCAGGGTCCAGCTTCCTTCAGCTCCACCAAGTTCATGGTCAGGGAGGAAGAAAATGTCCAAGGACTAGGGAGGTGTTGGGATGAGAGAGTGATGAGAGAGGGGTCATGGTAGTAAATAGGAAGAAGGGAGGAAAGGAAGGTCTTGGCTAGGAGTTCTGGGGCGTAGGAGACATGACCCTACCCGACACTTTTGGCCAAAAGTGGTATCCCAGCCCAGACATGGTCTTGTTGGTCCAGGTGCTGGCACTGATGATCACCCTGCTGCCCCCTCTGCAGGATGCCTGTGCAGTACATCCTTGGTGAGTGGGACTTTCAGGGCCTCAGTCTGAAGATGGCGCCCCCAGTGTTTATCCCTCGGCCAGAAACGGAGGTAGGTGTGCCATCAGGACTGGGCAGGATGGGAATGAAGGGGGCTCAGGGCACTTGTCTTGTCCCAGACTTCCACCAGGGGGCGCTGGAGCCCCATGACTGCTGTCCTTTAGAGGCAGCGCCCTTCCTGGCTGGCTGAGTAGGTGGGGCCAAGAGGAAAGAGGTCTCCTGCTCACCTCCTTGACTATCCTCACTTCCCAAGCCACTGCCCCAGCCCCAGCCCCTAGGCTGGCAGTGGCTCAAGATGCCCCAACTAGTGCTGCCCACCAAGTACTCAGCCGGTTCCTGTCATTTCCCTAGGAGCTGTCCCATGGGCCCATAGCCTACCCAACCCATTGGAAACAAGTGCCCTCCTCTTTCTCAGGAGGCATGGGCGAAGTGGAGAGGGCTTCAGCTGGACATCTGGAAGCCTGGTACAGCTTTGTGACCTTGGGTAGGTCACTGCCCCCTCTGGGCCCAGATGATGAGAGGGTTGGGCCTCCAGACCAGGGAACTGGTTAGGACCTTTTACCTATTACATCCACTATCTAGTCAGGTAATCACCTGTGTTTCTCAAATTACTAGGACTGGGAAGTGTATGGTCCCAGCATGCTGTCTGTAGGTGCAACACCCTAGTCTTGGGAGAAATGCTTTCTATGGCCCTTCTTGGGCTTCCCCATGACCTTGTAGGTGGCAGGGCTGGGAGCCAGAGAGAGCAGAGCAGGTGGAGGGGTATGTGGGTGGGGGCTGGTGGGCAAGCCAGAGGGCACCAGGTTCTGAGAAGGGGTGTTTCCAGAAAGGCACACACATTCTTGGGAAATATCAGGCCTCATCCACCTGTCCCAGCCAGGGACCCAGAGCCCCTTCTCACTTTCCCAGCCTCTCTCCCTCAGCCAAGAAGCCCTCTGACCGCACTTGCCCCCTGCATCATGTGGTTGGGAGGCCAGGTCCTTGCCTTAATGCCCAGTGTCAGGGCAGGGACAGTAGGGAGTCTGAGACCTTGCTGAAGTCACAGGGATGTCAAGGCAGGGAGCATATGGGGGCAGCACTCAAGACATCCTGTCTCCTGGGTCAGGGCCCCATACCTTACAAGGGGCTGAACCATCTGGGATTGGATGAGCTGGATAGGTGCAGAGACCCAGAGCAGGATGTAGCCTGCTACCTGCAGACTTTTGGGAGGCCAACCTGTGGCCCCTCCAAGCATGCGACCTCTGGCCAGAAGGTCACTCACCATCCCCTGAGGCTGCCAAGGGTCAGGGCATGGGAGGGAAGCTACCGCGATGACCTTTGAGTCCCCTCAGAGCTGACCTGGCACCAACCATGTGTTCCAGGGTTCTGAGTGTTGGGTGTGGACTTCCGGCTCCCATGTGGGGTCCCCTCCTTTTCTGGGTGGGTCTGGGCCAGGAGAGCAGCTCTGCTATAAGGGGTGGGGGAGAGGAGGGAGGCTGCGGTTGGGAGGCCAGGTCCTTGCCTCACTGTACAGACGTTTCTCAGAATTTGCCAGGTTGCCCCAATGTGCAGCCGCATTGGGGAGTGCCTTACCAAGAACTTGAGAGGACGTGGCCTGTGGTGGGGCGTGGGGAGAATTAGTGCAAGGGAGGGACCATGGTGCTTGCGTTCTCTCCATCCATTGAAGGGTTTCTGATGATGGGTGCAGAATTCTGAAATGCAAAGTTGTAGGCGATGTGTGGCCTGACCAGTTGGGTTTTCTCTGGGGATGGGGAGGTGGCTCAGTCCCTGGACTGGCGGTGTGTACAGTGGGAAAACCAAGGCTGGAAGTGTGAGCCATTCTTGCCCAGCTTGGCGAGGTGAGGCTCTGTGAGGTGTGGGATGCTCAGTGCCTTGTCTGTGATTAGCTTGAGGGAGGCAATGCTGCCTTCTTGGGGCTGCCTCATCAAGAATGTAATCCTAATGAGGGTCCTTATGGCACTCAGGTCCTGCTGAGGCCTTGCGCCAGCCTCTTAAGGGGTGTGGAGTCCTGTTGAGGCAGTGGCTCCAGTAAGAGCCGACAGCTGCCTGCTCTTTGCCTCCTTCCCACATTCCCCTCTGCTCCGACCCTGCAATGTTCTTGGATTCTCCCCTTGTTCACCTGGGAAAAGTGCCCTGGGCCTGTGACCAGCTTGATTTTCAGCTTCCCCCAAGAAGCCACCAACTGTAGGCTGAGGAGACTCTTTACTAGGTGAGGAAGAGAGTTTCTGGACTTGCTGGGAGTGGTCTCCATCCCTACCCCCCACCCCCCGCC